GGGTCGTTCATGCGCGATGCAATCTGGGTCTTCCGTGCGTGCGGGAACAGATTTCAGCCGTTCGATCGCGCCCACGTGGATTGCCCACGTGGCTCTCCCCGCGTGCCCTCCCGCGTCAGCGCCTCTGCCATCTGACGCGTCTTGGTTGGTCATGGTTGCTGACCGGGCAGCTGACGTGTTGTAACTTTTCTAAATTATATTTTGACCTCCGATTTTCGATTTTCTTTTCAAAAATATTTCTACAACCCAAATTTTCAACCATTTTTCCTAAAATTATTTTCAATTAAATCCCTAACTAATTTTTACCATTATTATTATTATTATTATTAAATTAAATTAAAAATAAATAAATTAAATTAAAATTATTTATTATATTTATATAAAAAATAATAATAATTTAAAAAAAACAGAAAGATTGGGTGTTACATTGTATTTCAAACACCGATGCGGGGTAAGAATCCCTCACCGTTTTCCCTCTTACGGTAAACTAAAGATTAATAATCGATAATACTGTATTTTGTAAAAATTAAAAAATCCTAAAAATAATTATAGGTCATTAATAGAGACGAAACCGGTCAGTTTATATTTGTCCTGGTTTACTGTTTATTTTTCATGTATTGCTTAAAATGCTTATTATTATATTATGTGAATTAAATTGATAGACTTAATTGCTCTCTCAGTTATTTGGTTTACCTCACTGCATATTCCCCATTTATTGGTTCAGTTTACAATAAATATTTCGATTATATTTTCTGATATACGTATCGCCTATTTGCATGACCTATTATTGATATGCAAATATAAGTTATTGGTATGTAACTGTTAATCGGTTTATACTTTGAATCTATGTAAAAAAGACTTATTGAATACCTTAAAAAATAATAGACGGACCCGGTACATAGGGAACCTTATTGCGGACATTATCTTAGATGGACGGGGCTGAGAAGTCTCATACTATAAGAGTTTGAGAGATATAGTTCACCCTCATACCGGACAGGATATCGAGGCGATGGTGTGTTTGACGCTCATTACCGGACGGGGTATGAAGACAAGTAGGTTAATTGAAAAATTTAGATATTGGGTTCACGAGTAGGAAAATATCCCTATGGACCCCTAGGAGTTCCAATAATCAGGTAAAAAAAAAGGAAAATTGCAGCTCTTGCTCACTTGTAAATGAAATCATAATATTATCTGAGTAATTGTCTTTATAGGTTGAGTTTGAAAAACTCGTAAGGGTAAGTATGGAATGAACAGTTTTCTTTATATTAAATGAATTTACTTAAAAAAAATATTCCATTAGTTGTTTTGTATTTTTTTATCAGCATTCGGTTTTCTATATTAGTGATTAGTGTCATATTTTTACTGAGCTAGTGTACGTTACCCTCATATTAACAATTGTAGATCAAGAAGACCAAGATCAAGATCCTGATCAACATGAGAGTTGTTAGTAGGTTTCCTCCCGTACCACATCAAATGCTAGTGGAGGTTAACCTCTTAAGACATTTATTTACTATTTTTAGTGATTTATTTTATTTTTTTTACAAACCGCTATAAAATAGACATTCATGTAATTTTATTAGGCACCCATAATTATTGTGTAAGAAATGTAAACTCTAACATTATTGTTTGCTTTCGCATTTAAAGTATGAATTCGTTTACTTTAAGTTCCGTATCTTTACACACATGGCTTAAAAATTTTAAAATCTATGTTGATAAACAACATTAATAATTACTACTATATACACTATATTAGATACCCAACAAGTTCATCTAATGCTCTACATTTGACTTATTTTCTCCATAAAAACTAAAAAACTAAGTTAAATATCGTACTCCAATATTTTTTATTCAAATGTTTTTTTAATTATTATGTTGTTTACTAAAATAATTTAATAGTATTTATCACTAAAAAATGGAAGAACAAAGTCTTATATAAAAATAAGTAAAATAAATTATATAACATATTTATGAATAATAGATATTATATAAATATCTATAATAAATTATATCACACATTTATGAATAAGAGATATTGTATGAGTATCTACAAGGTTTAAATTATCAATAAAATTTTCAAAATTATTAAAATTTTTTTAAAATTTTTTTTAACTAATCAATATACATATTTTAAAATTAAAATTTAATTTAGAATATATGATATTTATTTAATTTACTGTAAAATTAAAATTAGGAATATGCAAAAAAGAGAATTGTGCTTATGGGGGCAATTTTGAGATTTCAACAAAATACACAACTCCTCTTTTCCTCGCACGTGTGATATGCTACTCACGTGACAGAGCGCTTTGAGTTCGCGAGAGAAGAACTCCTCAATGGAAGCGGAAAGAGACTTTCCACTTTTCTTTAAGCCCCATCAAACGAAATCCCTGCCGCAGACCAGCGTCCTGCAACTCCGGCTAAACCCTACATTAACGCTTTCCTTACCGCTTTCTCGTTGTTTTCTCTTCATCTTTCGTCATTCTAGAGTGTACATCCTCCAGGCAACGCCGCCATGGCTCAAGCTCAAACCACAGAGGTCTCTCTCTCTCTCTCGTTCTCTCTCTATCTCTCACTAGATATATAATACGTAGATATTATTGTGTCGCTTCTGTACATGTGTTATGTACGCAGTATATGTATATATGTATTTACTCGGGTTTAGCGGTATTGATTTTGTATTTGTTTTTCCAAATAATTTGGTACCGAGTTTGGCTAACTTGTTGCTGCGAGTGAACTTCTTTTTAAGCTTAAAAGTCTTTTTACTTTGATTACATGTCGATAGTAATGCTATAATAGGAGGAAGAATGAGGATAAAAAGAGTAAAAGTCAATGAAGGGGAAGGATATGGTTTTGGTTTATACACTCTATTCTTTGAGTTCTTTTTTTTTTTCTCCTAAAGTTTTGAAGCTAAATTCCAGGGCGCGACGGAGATAATTGATGCAGTAAGGTTCAGTTTCATGACGGATGAGGAAGTTCGGAAGCATAGTTTTCTCAAACTTACAAATCCAATTTTGCTTGACACCGTGGACAGGCCTGTGCCTGGTGGTCTCTATGATCCCATATTGGGTCCTCTGGATGAGAGGGCACCGTAAGTTCTCCTCAACTGTTTATAAGTTTTCATCAATTTCATTTTCTGTTACTCTTCACCAAAAGTTTCACTCTTTAACATTTTGTTTTCATGTTTAAATTGCCTGCATGATGGATTGGTAGTACTTCTTTGGTTAGTCTGTCTGGTTTCCTCTTTCCACTTAATGAGTATGGAAACAGAGGATTAATATGATATGCCATACATCATGTCTAGTGGGTGATTTTGAATTTCACGGTTTCTTCTTTTAAGGTGATTTTGATGTTGGTAAATGCTTCAATCATATCACTTTTTAATCACTTCAATGCAGATGCAAAACATGTGGACATCTCAGACTGAATTGTCCGGGTCATTGTGGTCATATCGAGCTTGTTTATCCAGTTTACAATCCCTTGCTTTTCAATTTCCTTCATAGCCTTATACAAAAAACTTGTTTCTTCTGCCATCATTTCATGATAGAGAGGAACGAGGTAATTATTCTATTACTTTGCATCAACTCGAAGGAGGTTCTGATTGGCCTTTCTTCTCATAATTTTCTTTTTTTTTCCCTTGCTGTCAATTTAAGGTTGAGAGTTGTGTTTCTAGACTCAAACTCATCATAAAAGGTGATGTTGTTGGGGCCAAAGAATTAAGTTCAGACTCACCAAGTGTATCCTCATACTCAGAGGATAGTGATTGGAGCCACGAAACTTGTTCAACTGTTCTTTCAGGTGCACATGATCAAGATGCCGGGCAACCAAAATTCCGACAGTGGACCTCTCTTCAGTTTGCTGAAGCAAATGCTGTTTTGAATAAATTTATGAAGTTAAAAACTGCTAAGTGTAAGAGGTGCAAAGCAAAAAATCCTTCAGTGAACAAGCCTGTCTTTGGATGGTTCCAAATGGTATGTTATTTTGTTTAACTCTCTCTTGAAAAATATAGGTCCATCTGGTTTAGTTGCTTATCAATTTGTACCTTATTCCTTCATCTAATCACTGGATCATCTTAATATGTAGAATTACACTATAGTTTAGTGGTTGAACCACCTCTATTTTCATGAATTCATTGGGGGTGGACTTTTTAATTTCTAGCTAAATAGGAATTGAAAATCCGCCTGCAAAGATTTGAAAGTGACAGTGGATGTGGTACATTCATTTACTTATCAGGATTAGTCTAGAATAAGTCGAGGAATAAGATAAAAATTAATAAGAATTGAACCGGACAAATTGTTAGAAGATTTTAGATATCATGGCTATGGGTTTATGCTAGGAATTGTACTTGTGTGGGTTGTTTATTTCTAGGTTCTACATTCTTATTAAGCAAGCTTTGCGTGAATATTGATTTTGAACTTTTGATGGCAAGATATGCTTTGTGACAATTTTATCTGTAAATATCTAATAGAATTGGATAAACAAAGAGGGAAAAATGAGAGAGGTTTGCAATTGTATGCAAAAGAGTATATGTTGCTAGCTTGTTTTATTGCTTCTTTATTTTCTTATGAAATATGTCTTTCTTGACCTGATCTGGATACGGAACTGAGGGAAAAATATGACAATTTTCAGCTTCTAAGAAATGGTATGTCGGTGGGAAGCCACTATGGTCTTACATTAATCCAAATTTTGTGTTGTTCAGCAGAAAATTATGTTAGAATGACCCTATTTTGAACACTTTCTTAGGCGTTACTTTACCAGCCTTATTTAATGAATTGGGAATTCTGCTCTCATGTTAATTAGTTTGTCAGAGTTTCTCAATGTTTATATGTTTTATGTAAAAAAATTATTATAAGAGAAGAGGATGGTTCCAACAAGAGAGGACTGTGCACCCTCCAAAAGTAGAAGAAAAACCAAAATCACTAGAAGGCTGAAACAACAAAGTAAAATCAATAAGGAAGAGCTGGTCTATGAAATAGATAAAGAAATGTCCTTATAGAACTCATGTGTTGTAAGAAAGTGAAGCTGGAAACATACACTTGAGGATAAAGCATGATTCAGCAAGCAAACTTGAAGAAGACTGTTAGTATTGATTCTAAGGATCACTTTTGAAGCAAATACTCGTCCTTAGAGGGAGAGAAAACCTTCCAAAGGGAGTTACCAATGGCAAAACTTACCAAATTTGGTTAGAAGAAAAATTGGTAGGCTCAAGAAGCTGAAGCAAAGAAAGTATGTCATCTGCTTCACGATGATTAAGATTTCTGTGAAGAAAAGTTCCAAGAAAGATGGCCTCATTGTAAATCAGAAAGGCAAAAATAGGATTTTTATGGTGAAGGGAAAGGCTATACTAAAGAACAAGCAGGAGTCCCAGAACAATCCATGAGAATCATTCCCACCTTCAACCTGATAGAAGATGAAAAAGATTCATCAAATTGATTTACAGGAGTCTTGTGAGATATAGACTTCATATTTTTGTTTTGAAGAAAAAGAGAACCGAAACGAGTTTCTGAATTTAGTATCCAAACTGTTCCAATGCAGCCCAAATTTACTCTTGCGCACCGTGTCACAAAGAGTGAGGTTTTATTGGAAATCATCAATAACCATTCGGTCAATTTTTGTAGAGAGAAGAAATATTCTAAAGTTTTATTGGAAAACATTATAACCATTTAGTCAATTTTAGAGAGAGAAGAAATATTGAAGAGAGGGACCAAGGAGTTTCCCATAGGTACAACCGAAAACCAAACTTAAACAGGGAAATCAGACAAAAATGAAGGTTATCCCAAGCTCTTCCCTTCTAAGGAATGGAAGTCCTCCAACTAAAGTACATGGAGCTCGAAATCAATGGTCTCTAAAAGTAGCAAAAAACACCCTCTAACAATCTCCTGCTTCGTTCTTTCCATGTGAACCAAAAAATATCATAGGGGATAAGGCTGAGAAACGTTTTATTGCTCTTGCGACAAAAGAAACCATCACAAGCCAACAGTTCTGCTTGAATTAACCTGTTGACAGCCCAAGAAATCCCCAAAATATTAAGAGCCAAATCCCATAAGCTTTTCACCCTAAGAGCACCATAGGAGAAGATGTTTCAAGGGTTTATTATCATTTAACCAGAGGTTTTTACCCATAAGGTTCCCAGTGTCTGTACTCCCATCCTTTTTTCAGGGAGATAGCATAGCTCCCACTTGACCAAATGATCCATCGAGAACTCATCCGCGCCAGACCTCTTTTTGTTTGTTTAGCTGAGGAGAAATGTTGCTGCCATGCTATTAACATGAACATTCATTTTTAGGTTTGCTTGGTTCTTGAAACCTCTTATGTACTTTCTATTTGTCCTTTTTGGTGGCATTTGTTTTCACAATGATTTGATTTTTTTAAAGAAGGATTTATTTGGCAACATTGCTTCTTATAATGTAGCAAAGTTAAAATAAACTATTTATCAAAAAATAAAGTTAAAACTAAATATTTATTGGTGCTCATCAATTTAATAATACGTTATCTGGAGGGAGAGTCATGCCAATCTTTGTTCCAATAAAAGTTTTTTAACATGCATGAGGTTTTGGATAATTAAACAGTTATTCTCAATATGCTTTGTGATCCCACTACTAGCTTGCATTTTAATTTGGTTGCTTGTGATGTTACTTGGTATTCACTATATCTGAAACTTTCTAAGCCTGCACATGATGCCATATTTTTACTGTAATATAACATAAGATTTTGGCTACAAGGGAAATCAATAATTGTTTTGGTTGAAATCCAGGCTGGTATGTCAGGGGCCAGTATTCGAGCAAATGTTATTCAAGGGCACGAGATGGGAGATCCACTTGGTAGTGTAGAAGATTGTAATGATATCACTCAAGAGGGAAATACCCCTGGTTGTGCCTCCTATGGACATGAAAATGATGCTACCAAAAAAAGTGGAAAAAAATCTGAGAAGCTACATCTTGAGTTCACTAAGCAGAAGAATTCTAGACATTTGTTGCCAACTGAGGTACATTCCTGAAAATTTTCGACATTTGTGGCCTTAGTGTTTGGGTCTGCCTAAATCTTTTGATAGTGAAGTGCATCAATAACCATTTAGTTTTCCTGAATAAGCTTACTCTAGTTTGGTAATACTTCTAATACTTGAAATTGCAGGTTAAAGAGATCGTAAAACTTTTATGGCAAAATGAGCCTGAAATTTGCTTGTTCATCGGTAATCTTCAGCAGTATGGATTTGAAAAGAAAGTGGATTATTCTATGTTTTTCTTGGAGAGTGTACTTGTGCCGCCAACTAAATTCCGTGCCCCGACCAAGGGAGGTGATAGTGTGAGTACTTTTTTAGTGGATTGGATTTCTTACCTTCTACATATAGAGAGCTTTTCTTGACACTTAAACTATATTTTTTGTCCAATGATATATTTTTCCCCTGAAAGGCTTTGCAGCTGTCCTATGATTTAAGGAACTTTTTAATCTTTTCCTGTATTCATTTTCTTGATTATCTTTAATATTTCTTGGTACCTTTTTATTGGTTTCAATTATAAACTGTACTGAACTGACACCGTATACATCTAATACTCATTCAATTTCATAAAGAAACAATGTTTATTTCCTTCAAAAAAGGAACTCAAAGAACTGAGGGGTAATATAGTCAATGGGAAACTTACTTCTGCAACTATTGATTTGATGGACAAATATAGATGGCAAGTTGTTGGATGCAGACTAACAACTTGAGATATAGCCATCCCACTTCATCTCTCTGCAACTTCTTCTTTAACAGTGTAGAAGAGCAATATGCATGGTAAAATATAATGTAGTTCTGATGGAAGTTACATCAATAGTTCATCACGTCTGCATACTCTTTTGTTAAGTCAGCCAAACTCTGTTTAATAATTCGACGTAATTTCTTGGTTCTATTGTTTTAAATTGAGTTCCTTTACT